CGGAACCCACCACTACCATAAAGCCCACCAACTAATAATACCCTTTGTTATGTTGTCAAAGTTGTGTGTGTAAAAAAAAACAGACAAAAATACCCTATCAAACAGACAAAAAAAGAGAAGTAAGAAAATAAAAAGCAAAAAAAGTAGGAAACAAGAAAAGTTCAACAACCCGAATTTCCGCTTCCTACTTGCTTCAAAAGTTCCACATACTCCTTTCCCTTTCCTTTCCATTTTATCCCACACACACGTTATTCAACTTTCCATTTCCGTTTGAATTTGGATTAGTTACAAAGGTCCCAACCCCTCTGCTTCAAGCTTTCGTAGAACGCTTGCGAAGTTAGCAAGCTTCCGTCTGATTGATCGCATCCTTTGTTCCTTCTAGTGGCGGATACGACTGTACGACCAGATGCGTGCCCTCATGTCACCCGAACCGGTCGCAAACCAGCCGCCCGAGTTTCCTGACGCAGGGCTTGGAGCCACAGAGATAACCGAGTTCTTGTGTCCCTGGAGCATGAGCTGGGTGTGTCCGGTGCGGGGATCCCAGAACTGAACGCCGCGGTCCTTGGAACCGGAGAGAACCCATTCATTGTCGGGGGTGAGCGCAACACTGAGGACGAAGTCCTATTAAAAAGTTAGCAACGAGGCCTCGGCTTCAAGACCTAGAAATACATACCCTGTGTCCCTCAAAAGTCCTGATGCAGCGGCCGACCGGCTTCATAATACCACCGGGCATCTGGTTGTGATTCCGGGGAGCGGCAAGCTCCCACATCTTGATGGTCTTGTCCAAGCTACCGCTGACGAGGTCACGAGAGTAGGGCGAGAAAGCAACAGAGTAAACGCTGTCCTTGTGGCCCTCGGGACCCTCGAGACGCTCCAGCAAGAGGCCTGTCTTGACATCCCAGACCCTGACACTCTTGTCAAGCGAGCCGGCGGCGACATACTTGGCATCGGGCGAGATGGCAACGGTGGTGACGCCGTCCTCGATGGTGAGCGTTGCCGTGTTCAAACCAGTCTCAATATCCCAAAGCCTGACAGTGCGATCGCCACTGCCAGAAGCAATGGTGCGGCCATCACGGGCAAAATCCAAGCTGTAGATATCCTGCTCGTGACCAGCGAAAGTGTTGCGAATTTGCCTGTTCTTGATGTCCCAGACTCTGATGAGCTTGTCTTCAGCACCGGTAGCCAGGTACTGCCCGTCTGGACTGAAGCAAACGCTTCTGATATAAAGATCGCCGTTGAGATCAATACTCTCGTCTTGGAGAATGCAGACCTTGTCACCAGTCTGAACATCGTAGATCTGAGCAGATCTGTTGCATCCCGTCGCGACAAATTTGCCATCGGCGCTGAACCTCACGCAGCAGACCACACTCTCGTGCTGGAGAGTGTGAACCAAATCAACATCCAAAACACGGGGCACCGCTTGGTTGAAAATGGCCCACCAATCGTCCTTGACCTTCTTGATGTGGCTTGGGAGACGCTCGGGGTCCAGGTCGCTCAATGCGTTGCTCTGAGAAGAAATCGGGACGGGCTGGTGCTGCTGCTGTTGCTGCTGCACCATGCGGGGGTGGTCGGGGGTGGGATGGGTCGGGACCTGGGGAGACTGGCCGGGGCCGTTGTAGGGAACCGGAGTGTTGATCTGGGGGGTGGCGGGACCGCCGGCAGGGGGTCTCCCGATCGGCTGCCCTCTCTTGCTGCCGGGGCCGGGGCTAGCGGTGCTCTGGGGGGGCTGAGATGGAAAACCGCCGGGGGCTGGTCCTTGGTACTGTTGCTGGAAAGGGGGCTGCTGAGACGGCGGGGGAGGAGGGGGAGGAGGTCCCTGCTGGAGTCCCGGTGGCGCGGGGGGCATGTGGGGAGGCTGCTGTTGCTCCTGAGGAGGATGAGGAGGGGGGGCCAGGCCGCCCTGTCCGCCCTGCCCGGAGAGGATCCCGTTGAAGACACCACCTCCCCCCATGTTGCCTATCTGAGGAGGGGGCTGCTGGGAAGGGCCAGCATGCTGTGGCGGCGGGTTCATAGGTCCCGGGGGGCCACCGCCGCGAGTTTCCAGCTGACGACGAAGGAGGTTGATTTCATCCTCGTATCTGAACAGGCGCGCGCCGCGTTAGAAGGCTTGTGTAGTTTGTCCAAGACATGCTTCAAGCTTACTTTTGCTTCAGTTGGACATGCTGCTGCTCCATCTGATAAACCTTCTCGCGAATCATTTGCATCTCTTGAACCTGGGCCTGGACTGTGGCGGAAAGACTGTCAGCATTGTCGGGATGGGACAAGGCACGGCGGTGTTGTCGAACCAAAACTTACTTTGGTGTTCATATCCTTCGATCTGTCGTTGATGCGATTCAAACTCGGCGCGGATGCCCTCCAGGAGCTCGTTCTGGCGGCTGCCATTGGGGTTGGCAGGGGGCGCGACGCCCATGCCGCGATGGCCGGGATACATCGACATTGTGTGCAGTGGGCGACGATGATGTCGGGGTGGATTGGGTTGATGGGGGGGCGATGCACCAGAGAATTTACGAATTTACGAGTAGACAAAAGTCTTGGCGAGAAATGGGTGCACGTCGCCCGATTGCGGCGGCGGCTCGGTCGAGGGCTGTGAGCTCTTGGTTCCCCGTCGATGGTGTGGATGAGGCCGTCGCGCGTTCCGAAGAAAGAAAGAAAGAAAGAAAGAAAAAGACACGGCGCGGGTGGTGTCGGGTGTCGGGTGAGTGGTGATGTTTTTGACGCAGGTGTTTTGGTGGAGGTTGTGGTTGCAGACAGAGAGGCAGGGAAAGGAAATGGAAAGAAGGTGAAGAGCAAGCAAGAGGGAAGGAAAGGCGCCAGAGTGGAGGGGGGCGTAGGGGCGGCTGGAATCTACCTGGGACGGTCAAGCAGGACAGAAAAAAAAAGGTACCTTTGCCGACGTGTGGCAGTAGCGCTGGAGTCAAGTACCACGTCCCAGCAGGGGACCAGGACCGGGGGGCAGATGCGGCGCTCCTGCTCAAGAAGACCCACCCCAATGTGGACCAGGGACCGTGCACGCGCAGGCTGTCTTAGCGTGCGCCGTTCTGGAAAGTGGAAAGGAGGCAAGTGGGGGAGTGGGTCAAAATGGGGGCGTGTGCAGCAACCTGCAGCGGCCCCAGGGATGGGGTGGCTGCAGCATCGAGCACACACGTTTTGTTTCCCGAGAGACCAACCATTTTCAGCAAAAGCCTGGGCTCCTGGAAATTTGTGACAGAAGTGAAGTCAACCTCTCGTGCCTCTGTGGGTGACACAAGTTTGTCTTTTCCTTCTCACCTCACCTCACCCTCCCACCTCACTTCTCACCATGCACAACACAAGCAGCAAACCACTCTGAAGGGAAAGCACAAGGCATCCGTATTCCGATAATGAAACACAAAGTTTCGAGGGTTGGGTGAGATATCTCACCTGTGTGGTAAGAAAATAAAAACGAGCACAAAGAACAGGGGTCCAAATTATCCGGTTCGTCACAGTGCTGCAACAAGTGGCCCTCGGCAAACCAAAGCAACATCCCCGCTTGCCATCCACCCCCATCCATCCCATCTCGTTCATCACATTGCATCGGCATCGTGGTGGTGGTGGTGGTGAGGATTACCCGTTTGGGCTCTCCTGCCAATGTTCGGGATGACCCCCAGCCTGCGTTCCGCACCCGAGAATAGCCCCGCTGTCAGCACATGTGCCGTCATGGCTCTGTCTCGAGCACAGATCACAGCAGGCAGCATGTCTGCATTACATGTCTGCACATTATCTGCCCAAGTCTGGTTTGCCTAGAGGGAAACGGAGGTCTTATCACCGCAACGTTTTGATCTTGCCTGTTCCAACGCTTCCTGGATCCTGGAACACCGAAGAGGCTCACCGTCGGCTGACAGTCTTCTAGTAGTTAACACCATGTCAATGCGGGGAAGTGGTCCGACCATTTTTACCAGCATACTTTTCTTTACCTATGTTTTAGACCTGGCCGTGATAGGTGGCCACCGAGGAAAGCCCAAGATATAACGAAATCTGACCCGACGTAGCCGATGGGGATCGACATCTGCATCGATGCACTCCCAGGCTTCGGGGTCATCACCTGGAGGATACTCGGAAGCTCTCTGCCATGACGGAAAGTTCCCCCGGAGATGGGGGCGCACATTCCAAGGGAGAGAAAAGAAGCGGGTCCCTATCTCCGCACCAGCTAGGCCGAGCCGGGAACCTGTCCAGTGCGGGCCGAGACAAAGCCACCGGCTCAGCCTTGTTGATTATGTGATCGAGAACCACTACATCTTGTTGTCGTTGCTCAAGCTCAACGGTCATCCAGCGAGGCCGCTAAATCTCGTGACTAGTCAGTTCCAACATGGAAATATGGTGGCTTCCTTCTGCTTCACGAACTCCCATAACAAACAACATCACACCTGCTTTACCATCCAGTCACAACCGTCATATCAAAATCGTTCGGAATAAGTTAAACCCACCTCCTTCACGCCTGTTATGCAGCAGCCCTCTTTTTGTATCACAGGCCGGCCGCATGTCTGACCGCAGAAAGGCCTGCGGAAGCTTACTACTAGCACTCCTACGTCTTGAATCTCATTCTCGATTTGGACACTGGGTATTTGCTTGAAACAAAAATTCTTGCGTAAGGTATCTCATTCATGTCAGAGATAGCGAGGTGCATCCTTCTTCTTCTCATCATCTCATAGTCGGTATATGTTATTGTTAACAAGTAGCTAGAGAGAGAGTCTCCCGGGCCTCCATCTACCCGCTTTAAGCCCCCTCACGAGCACGCCACCGAAATTGCTGACGACCCCTCCTCAATCACTCCCCGTTTGAACTGTGTAGGCACCCTCAACGTCACCCCCTTCGGGAACCTCCACGGACAGGTAACTGGCAACCCCGGGCTCGGGCAGAACGCGGATCGTCTGTGCTTCTATTGGATTTGGTTCTCGTATTCCATGGAAAAATCATGTATGACATCGGGGCTGTAGAAAGATGGATTGGGCCAGAGTTTGGGGTCAAACTTCCTTGGTCATCTCACCGGGTTGGCCCAGCGTGTTGGTTTTTTTTTTTGGCGATGACGGCTTTGAGCTGCTTGACGCCGCTCTCTGTCTGCGGGTCCGTGACCCGAACCGCAAACATTTTGGGAATTCCCACATATAGACGTCTTGTATTGCCGGGTTTGGGCAGACTGCAGTAGATGCAAAGTTGCTGTTCAGTTGTTGGTGGTGTGATAAGTATGGAATCGGGTAGGAAGTCGCTTGGGCGGGGATATGGAATGTGTGTGGATTTTCGGGCTGGGGGAGGTTAGCTGGAGTTTGGTTTAAGGGGGAAAGGGGGGTGTATGTACCCTTGGATACGGTTGGCAAGGTATGAATGAGAGAGCGTGGGCCTCTGGGATCATAGTTGTGAGGAGGAGAAAGATGATACTGGTGAGAGGAGTCATGTCGTTGAAGGCGAGGGTTTAGGTGGTGTTGATGGTAGATGGTTGGAATTCGAGCTGGTTGGTGACTTCTGTTTTGAAGGTGGGGAGGGGGGAATAGTTTTTATATCATACTGGCGTTGGTTCTCTTTTTTTTATTTCTTCGTTTCGGGTCCAAACTCGACAGAAACCCATTCAGTCGTGCTCTGGAATATTTCCTTCGTGACAGCCCCGTGTTGTCTGTGTTGTCCCGCCTTGTTGGTGTCTCTACCGCTGACAGCTTTGACCCCTTGTTTGATGATGGTCTCCGCCGTACACCGGCTCTCTTGGCTGTTGTATTCCCTAGCCTTGTTGAAAGCGTCCAGCCTTTTGGCAACTTCCAAGCGCAGGTAGATGTTGCTTGATCTGGATTCAATGGGGCGGTTTTTCGTATATGCTCGGGTGATCTTCCAGTTGGTATCATGCTCAACCAGGGCCTTTCCATCTCGGGGAACCGCGATATTGGACATCTGCCATCAATCCCACAACGGCGGGACATGGCGAGGGCCGGGGAGAAGAAGACGAAAATGATGAAGAAGCATGTAAAGGTGTGTTTGAGCATTATGGCGGTGGTTTGTTCAGCAGTCGTTTTGGTTCTGTTGGGAAGGTCTTCACTGAAACTGCGGCAGGAATAAGAAGATTTGGCCACGAGGTAGTCTACTCCAGTCATATAAACTATCCCGACTGTCCCCTCTTCTGGCTTCTTGGGCGGCCTTCCCATAATGGCAACACTTGGCGATGAACACGAAGCAGAGACAAGAATTTCAAGGTCGTAAAAGATGTCACCAAATCCATCCACTCGGATGTCGGCAGTCATTTTGGCGTGCAAAATTCGGCGAGAGGTTGCCGAGAATGACGCCGCTTTCAGGGGAGGCCGTGGGTAAGGTCGGCTGTTGACGCCGTTGGCGTGTTTTATGATCTTCGCGCATCATGAGGCACGGCTAAAAATAAGAGAAGGCCAAGAGGCAGCATTTCTAGAAGATGGTTGTGTGTGTTTGCTTGGGATGTTAGAAGAAGGTGTCACATGCTGGTGGAACAAGAGGTGAGAAAGGGGTTGCTACATTGATAGCCGCTACGCCAAGATGGTTGAGTGACACTTCATATTTTATTGTACACTCTGTTACTAGGAGGATCTCAGAGCACGTACGGTCAAAGTGGGAGGAGATTGCTATGATGCTCATGATCTGCCTTACAGGAGATCAAGGTCACCGCATTGTTTCCATCGTTACCGGAGCTCAGGAGTCGGTGGTCGAAATGGGCATCTCAAACAAAACTTTCAGAGACATCCCCTGTTATCTTGGCAGTTTTGAGAGGGTGCTTTGGTTTCATTATGCCCGGTTTGGCTTAGGTTACATCTGTGACATCAGGGTAGGTGACATCTGGAGTCTCTCTCAGGGGTAAGGGTTTCGAATGATTGGAGATGGTTGACTCTTTGTGAACAGGTCCTCAAAATCGCCAGCGACACTGGTGTTTGTAGGCGAGTTTCCGACCTTGATAACTACGCTTTGCATGGAATAACTACACTGCGAAGTAAGCCAAAGCAGAATATTACTTCAAACCCACCTCAAAAACTGTTAAAACACTTCCAAAGACAATCAACAAGCCTCGAAAGATAGTTAATAGACGTTGAAGGGCAGTGACCCAGTATGTTTCCTATCTCAAAAGGTGTAAGTAGACGATCACCACAGGTTTTACTGACTTGCAGTAAAACTTTTCATGTCCAGGGCGTGCATGGTAGGGATGTGATGGCACCTGATCGATCAACTACCTTGGACCCAAAGGTTTGTAATATTCAAGGTGGCATGTAGAGTCCGGAATGGTATCCCATGGGCACCCAGCACGCTGGTTTCCGGGCGACTGGTCAACTATACTGGAAGCGTCCCATGTGACACAGAAGGTTTCGACGATTGTGTCGACAGACAGTGTTCATGAGCTGGCCATAGAGCGATAAACAAGGCTGACAAGTACCTCTGAGATGAGACCTCGTGTTGTTGGTTCGAGCTGCAACTTTTGTTTGGGGCTGGACAACTCAAACTATCAAGATGAGGGGAAGACCAACCCTCATAAAGACGGTCGTGATCTAGGCTGAACATGACCTCTCGTGATAGCCACGTTGATATCCAGCATCTGTCTCGACTGGAGTTACCAACTAAATGGTCGTGCAGACAGTATGTAGAAGCAGAGAAAACTGCCGCACGGCCTTGTTAGTTCAGTATCGCGTCGAATTTGCTTCGAGAGGGGATCACTTTTCCACGGGGATCTGGGCATTTCGGTACGTACACGGGGATGGCAGATCACAAGATCACAAACCAGACAGAGCGACCGTCGAACAAGATTTGTAGGAGGTTTTGATGGCATCCCGACCATGCCGAGATCTCCGGGCGACATGGCCCGTGAGAATGGCAGAAGCTTGGGCCCCAATGGGATCAGAGATGTGCCTGGCAGGGTTCGGTGGCTTCGGGCTCGGTGTCGCTGCTAGACAGACAGTGGTCGGTGCGCGGAGGCCGCTTGATCTCGCAGGTGCTTATCAATCTATGTGGGGGATCTAAGCCAAATCAGTCTGCGATTGGCCAAACCACAGTCTGGTTAGCAGGCTCGGCCTCGGGTCGTTGAACGGACACCATCCCATCGAATGAAGAGCTCACGCCATTTCTGCCGCATGGCAGCTTCGAATCTCCGGGAGTTAGTGCCAGATCTGGGCGAATCAAAAGCTTGAGAGCCAAACGGATCATGCAACTCGACAGTTTGGTTGCACGACCACCGCCAAAGCGAATTGGATTGACGGCTGTTGTCCCAATTCTTCATCCCAACTGGTGCCATTCCAGCTTGTCGAGACCTGCTCGGTCCAGGGGTTGCGGTCCAAGACGGACGATGATGGACAGCTTCTTGATTAGGAAGCTCAACCCACTGCCCTTTTTCAATGTCTATCAGCAAAAGTATATTATGTGTATACAGCATTCCCAGCCCGATCAATTCCAATCTCAAAGATACCGGCCCCCATCTTCCAGACACCTCTTTCACACTGCAGGGTTCCGTTTTTGTGCAATCATCCCCGTCCCGTTCGGAAACAGCGCGGCCGAAGAATCAGAGGCTCCACCGTTCTTAAGATTGCCCCCTGCGTCCCTGCCAGCGAAGGTCGTTGCCAAGGGTGTGGAAATCGCACTAGAACAAGCCGGGGAGTCGCCCTCTCGCTCACGCAATTTTCTCGACCGCTGCTTCTTTTTCTCTCGCCTGCTTCCCCCCTCCCCCCATTCTCTTATCTAGAGCAAGCTCGCGTCGCGTGGGAGAGGGACCGTCTCCGTCAACTTTGTCTTTTGCTTCTCATTTTCTCCCGTTTTGCGCATTCCACTGCGCACAATTCTTTCAAGATGGACGTCGTCCTCGAAGTTTGCGATACCTTTCTGTTCGATTACATGTACCAATGGGTGCTCCCAGCGCGTCCAGCTCCATCCGGCCTCACATCCCAGACCTTTGCCAATGGCACTTCCATGTCAACATGGCAGTACAAGCCCGCGACAGAGTACCTGTACCTGACACCATCACAAGCCGCATATGGCAGTTTATGGGCTAGAGATAACATCTGGCGCCAAGGAGTGTCGCTGTTCCTCATTCTCTGGTTTGTTTACCCCTTCCCTCTCACACGCAATGCCCACCCGCAAGTGACACTAACCCTCCCTCCCCAGGATCTTCGGCTTCCTAGTCTACTTCGTCTTCGCCTCCCTCTCCTACCTCTTCGTCTTCGACAAGAAAACCTTTGAGCACCCCAAGTTCCTCAAGAACCAAATCTGGCTCGAAATCAAGCAAGCCAACGAAGCCATGCCCATCATGGCCCTCTGCACCGCCCCCCTCCTCGTCGCCGAGGTCCGGGGTTACGGCTTCCTCTACGACACGCTCGACGAAGCCCCCTGGCCGTGGTGGAACTGGTTCCAAATCCCCCTCTTCCTCTTCTTCACCGACTTTGGCATCT